CCTCCTGTTTAGTTCTTCTTTTAGATCGTTCTCCATGTTCATCGAACGCCCGAGATATACGTAAGAAGACATCTCCGCGATTGGTAAGCCTTGTAATTCCATTTCGTGATCCTCGCAAAAAGCGTTCTTTATAAACTGAGTCTTATTTCGGTTGATTCGCAGTCCTATCTGCTTTCCTACTTCGTTCAGTTCCTTCAACATCATCTCTGCTTCACTGATACTACTTGAGAAGAGAACGATGTTGTGCATAAAACGAAGGTTCGAGAGGTCGAGAGGATTCTCCCATCAATTCGTATACCTCTTTTGTTCCAATCCAGTGATTTCATCACCTGTTGCAAATCACGGCGGTAAACAGCTTTAGCGACACAGTGTTGCCTTGTCGAACCTTCTTCGAGATTGGTATGTTAAGGGGACGATGGCTGTGCCGTTGTAGAGCAGTTCCTGTAGCAGTCGGCCAATGTCCTCACATAAGGTGAGTCCACTTGGTCGACGAGCGCTAACAATATGGCATTAGTCTTGACGTTGTCAAACGCTTCATAGTAAACGAAGGTTAGGACGAAAGGTAGGCGGTCTCGGAAACCTCGATAATCCTCGAAACTGTCTGGATGTGACCCACGCAGCTGAATCCCTGACGAAATCCAGCTTGTTCTACAGGTTGGGCTTCATCCGTGTCCTTAATATGCGAGCGAGAATAATCTTCGTAAAGAGCTTATAAAGCGCGCTTAGCAGGCAGTTTGGGAGGTTCTCCACTTATCGGGGATCCTTTCCTTTTGAAAGTAGGACGTTAGATGTTCCACAAGTATCTCGTGTAAGCGATGTCCTACAGCTCGTAAGAGGTTGACCGAAACATGGTCCGGCCCGGAGCCGTGGCTGCTTTCATGGTCTGGATTGCGGCGCGTACTTCAGCAAGTAGAATCCTTGGTGGTATTTCTCCAGTGAGAATAACAAGGTTTGACACGGATACTGACGAGTGAAAGAGATCGGTGTAAAATCTCTTCGTGATCAATTCCATCTTTTGTCGGGAAGATGTGCTAGTTCCGTCTTCGTTCAGTAATGTTGTCAGCCGAACACGATAATCGAGAAGATTCATGCGGTACTTCTTCAAACTTCTCCTTCCTTGTGCTGTTTCCAAGAGTTGATTGCCTGTTACAAGATCTTCTTGCAAAGCTGTTCTGCAATTTGTATTGACTACCAGTCGCTCGAGATATGTTGCAATCGGATCCAGACTCAGTGCTCTGCCTCTTTGATAGATCTTTGGTGGCTTTCGAAATACGTTCCAAGTTTCTTTTGCGAGGCATTGAGGCGCTTTCACTACAGGCTCTCAGTCCTCTGAGTTACAATTGGCCAGGAGCTCCTCCAATCTGACGCCGTCATATACAATCTCCTTCCTCCAACACGGTGGCAGATCTTTTCCAGCGTTTGACTGAATTGCACTTTTGCTCAAAGGAGGCGGTGATCTGAGCCACTAATGAAGAATGGTACCACTGAGACATCCAGTAAGCACCACTTCTGGTTGGTAAAAATGTGGTTGATCTCCGCATGAGTCGTACCGTTGATTAACTGCAATGTCCACCGCCGGTCTTCATGAAGATGAAGTTGCCATTAGAAAATGGTGCGCGGATAAGAGCCCAATGCCATTCTCATTCCGGAATCCTGATCCAAATCTCACGATTCTATGCCCCTCTTCTTCTGAACTCTCCTCATTTCGCATTGAAGTCATCCACAACCGTAGAAGTCTTTGCGGAAGACTTCTTGATGTTGGAGAATAGAAGTTGATTAGTGATGGTTTTCTGATGCAG